TTCAAACTTGGGGTCATTTTTTAAAAAACAGTCAATGGTAACCTAGCTGGTATGGCTCAATGGATAGAGCGTTGGTCTGTGGACTGAAGGGTCCTAGGTTCGAATCCGGTCAAGGGCACATGCCTGGGTTGCGGGCTCGATCCCCAGTAGGGGGCATGCAGGAGGCAGCCAATCAATGATTCTCTCTCATCATTGATATTTCTATCTCTCTCTCTCCCTCTCTCTCCCTCTCTAAAATCAATAAAATGTATTTTAAAAAATAAATTTTATTTTGCTGACATCTTGGGCCTAAAAATGTATTTTGACATGTCTATGTATATGCATAGTTATGCATCTGTATATTCTGGATATGTACATCATTTTATGTGTAAGGATAGGTAGAGGGCAATCTCATGAGATCCGAGGACAGGGATGCAGTAAAGCTGCAGGAAGGGGCTGCAACAGGGAACAGAAAGCCTTTGGCACATTTCCCTGCACGTCTGTTGGGCTCTTCTCTCTCCCTCTCACCCTCCACTGTTAGCCACTCTCCTGAGACAGTGATTGATGGCTGTGGTTCCTACTAGTTCTGCGTCAGGGCTGTCTAGATCACAAATCCCAATTCCCGGCTTGGGTAAGGTTTCCATCGTGGGCCAATGAGCTACTTAGAGCCAAGGGAAGAGATATACTGTGCAGACATGGCTACTGGAGCCTGTCCACTGCGAGCAAGGAAGACACACTCATCACAGTGTGTGACCAAGAACTGGAGACCAATACAGAGTGGGTATGGGCATCGCACAAAGAAAAAATGACCAAATATGAGCAAATATAAGCAAAGTGATTGGAATCCTGACTAAGAAAGATAAAACAGGGGCCTGGCTTCTGGGTAGGTGGAGAAAAAGAAGCCGAGCTTAATGAGGGTAAACAAGAGGGACAAGAGAATACTTGAGTGTGATGCCTGGAGGGTAAGGAGCAGGATACTGTCACCAAAAGAGAGGAGAAGGGAGAGAAGGAACAGCCAGGGCCACTGCTTTGCTCCCTAGAATAGAACCTCCCCCAATTACTCCCACCTAAACATTTTATAATCTATTCCCCTTCAATATCTGGGCTCTCATCTTCTTCCCTAGTTAAAGGAAAGCGCTTTAAAAAATACATAGTGGCCAAAACCGGGTAGAGCGTCGGCCTGCAGACTGAAAGGTCCCAGGTTCGATTCCGGTCAAGGGCATGTACCTGGGTTGCGGGCACATCCCCAGTAGGAGATGTGCAGGAGGCGGCTGATCGATGTTTCTCTCTCATCGATGTTTCTAACTCTCTATCTCTCTCCCTTTCTCTCTGTGGAAAATCAATAAAATATATTTAAAAAAAAATACATAGTGATAGCAAAAATAACAGCTTCCACTTACTAAGAGCCTACTACATCCCAGCTGTTTTACATAATTTATCTCTAATTCTCACAACAGCTCTGTGAGGCAAACATTGATATCCCCATTAAAAAATATTTTTTGTATAGTTTGCCTTTTACTTATTATTGTTTTTAACTATATTTTTTATTGATTTCAAAGAGGAAGGGAGAGGGAAAGATAGATAGAAACATCAATGATGAGAGAATCATTGATCCACTGCCTCCTGCATGCCTCCCACCGGGAATCGAGCCCACAACCTGGGCATGTGCTCTTGACCAGAATTGAACCTAGGATCCTTCAGTCTACAGGCTGATGCTCTGTCCACTGAGCCAAACCAGCTAGGGGGATATCCCCGTTGTATAGACATGGAAAATGAGTCTCAGAGTGATAAAGTAACTTGCCCCAAGTCACACAGCTACAGGGCGCTGAGCACAGAGTCAGACCCAGGCCTGCTGGCTGCTGCCCACCAGGCCACAATGTCCTTTGTGGGGGATGAAAGGGTGAGGGCTGTGCCCTCCATCTTACCCAGGATCCTCCATTTTGGGGTAGCAGCCATTAGCCATGTGTTCAGCAAGGAGCTTCTTCCAGGAAGCCCAAGCCTCTGCTAGCCACACCTAGGATTTCTTTAAACTAATCAATGATAATCAAGGGAAGTGCGCACCATAGACACAACCACATCCTGTGTAACAAGACCCCGACTTGCGCCTGGCCAATCGGCAGGGCCCACAGTCCTCTCTCCTCCCTTTATTCCAACTCCCCTATAAAACCCCTCTCCCCACAGAGCCCTCTCTCTTCTCTGCCTACTGCCACCGCGTAGGCGAGTGTGGTGGACGGGGAGCTCAAGCTAGCTTGACTAAAGGCTCTTTTGTGTCTTGCATCAGACTTGGCTCCCTGGTGGTTTTGGGGGATCCTGAACATTGCGCACAACAGGGGAGAAGGGACTGTGTTTGTTTCCTATTGCTGCTATAACAAATCACCACAGATTTAGTGCCTAGAACAATGTAAACCTAAACCTATTATCTTAAAGTTCTGGAAGTCAGAGGTCCTAAAAGCAGGGAGTGGGCAGGGCAGTGTTCCTTCTAGAGGTTCTAGGGGAGAATCTGTTTCCTGGTCTTTTGCAGCCTCAAGGCTGCATGCATTCCTTGGCTCATGGCCTCTTTCTCCATCTTCAAAGCCAAAAGCATAGCATCTTCAATTCTCTATCTGACTCTGCTCCATCTTCACATCTTCTCTCAGTCAGGTCCTCTGGACTTCCTCTTATAAGGACTCTTGTAAGTACCTTGGGCCACCAGATAATCCAGAATAAGCTCCCCATCTCAATATCCTTAACCATACATGCAAAGTCCCTTTTGGCCTGTAAGGTAACATAGTCACAGTTTCTGGGATTAGGACATGGGCATCATTGGAGACTATTATTCTGTCTCCTACATGAACCACATCCATCTCATTGACCGCTGTATCCCCAGCACCTAGTACAGTGCTTGTTGCATATAAAATGCTCAAGAAATGTTTGTTAAATTGAGGAGCAAGGAATAGTAACCTAGATTAACTTTAAATCTTATCCTCTCTTTTTGTTTTATTTTCACTTCAGTTTTTGGTTCATCTAGAGCAGTGGTTCTCAACCTTCCTAATGCCGTGACCCTTTAATACAGTTCCTCATGTTGTGGTGACCCCCAACCATAAAATTATTTTTGTTGCTACTTCATAACTGTAATTTTGCTACTGTTATGAATCGTAATGTAAATATCTGATATGCAGGATATATTCTCATTGTTCATGACCCACAGGTTGAGAACCGATGATCTAGAGATATGATAGGACCAGAAAGACCAACTCTATGCTGAGCAACCTGTTCTTCCAATTGACCCTGAATTTAAAAATGGACAGCCCTGAATACAGAATCTATTAGCTAAGGTTGTTAATAAAGTCTAGGAGCTCTAGGCTGTTAATAAACTCTGCAAGTGCAGACGGAATGCCTGCAAGCTACAGTAGTTAGGCCTTCGAAACTCTAAGATAAAAATAAACCACAATTTAAAAAAGGGCAAATGACTTAAATAGACATTTCTCCAAAGAAGATAGACGAAGAGCCAATAAACATCTGAAAAGATGCTCACCATCATTAGTCATCAGAGAAATACAAATCAGAACCAGAGTGAGATTTTTTTTCACACTTACTAGGATGATTATAATAAAATTTTTTCAAAAAGGAGAATAAGTGTTGGTGAGGACATGGAGAAACTGGAACCTACATACATTGCAGGTGGCTAATGTAAAATGGCACAGCTGCTGTGGAAAACAGTTTGGTGGTTCCTCAAAAAGTTAAAAATAAATTTACCACGAACTAGAAATTCCACTCCTAAGTATATATCCAAAAGAATTGAAACTAGATTTTTGTACACCAGTGTTCATTAGCAACATTATTCACAATAGCTAAAAGGTGGAAACAACCCAAATATCCATCATTAAATGAATGAATAAACAAAATATGATCTATAAATACAATTAGATATTATCTACACTAATAAAAGAGAAAGATGCAAATTGACCATACCTTCAGGATGCCCACCAGCCAATCAGGAGTGAGCATGCAAATTAACCTCATTGCCTCCGTGGAGACTGACAGCACAGAGGAGGCGGCTCCCAGCACAGTATGGCCTGCTTGGCCATTGCCGCTGAGGCTGGGGAGCAGGCAAGTGCGTCCCGCAGGCAGCTCCCAGCATGGCAGGCTGTCGCCACAGCAACCCGGGAGCAGGCAAGCACAGCCTGTAGGCAGCTCCCAGCACGGCCTGCTTGGTGGTCACTGTGGTGTGGAGCAGGCAGACCCCTTAGAGAGCAGAGAACCATGGGGAGCAGGCTTAAGCATCAGTAGGACATCCCCTGAGAGCTCCTGATTGGAGAGGGTACAGGTCAGGCTGAGGGACACACACACAGACACACACACACCCATGCATGAATTTCATGCACCGGGCCTCTAGAATAGCCATAAAAAGGAATGGAGTTCTGGTACATGCTACAATATAGATGAACCTTGAAATCAGTATGCTAAGTGAAATAAGTCAGATGTGAAAGGACAAATATTGTCTGATTCCACTTATATAAAATATCTAGAATAGCCAAATTCATAGAGACAGGAAGCAGATTAGAGGTTATGGAGATGGGGAAGTGGGAATGGGGAATTATTGCTTAATGGGTATGGAATTTCTTTTGGGGGTGATGAAAATTTTTGTTAACAGATAGTGGTGATGTTTGCACAACACTGTGAATATACTTAATGCCACTGAATTGCACATGTAAAAATAGTTAAAATGACAAAATTGAGGTAATTGTAAAAAGTAAATAAATGAATAAACCATGAACTTTTTTGCCAGGAAAAGACTAGCTTTCAGTGACTCTATCCTGCCACAGGGTAAAAAACGTAGGTCCTGTGAATCCCAAGATTCATAAAGAACAACGTGTTTAATTATAGGGCCTTGGTGGAGACATATACTCTGGGCCTTTGTAGTGTAACACAGGGAACAGCCAAACTAGTTTTATCAACTCTTATCAGCCTCGGGAAGACCTGGGACGGATGCATATGAAAGTATCTCACAATATGCTGATTTTAGGATTTAATGAAACAAAGCAGCAAGACAAACATTGAGAGGTCTTATTCTTCCATCTGCTCAGAATTTCAGAGATGAAGGGGAATAGAGCGTATATGTGATGATAAGACACATTAGAAAGTACACAGGGGGAATATTGATGAGGATGTGGTGAGACACATTTCAACAGAGGTCTTTAAGGGAAACAATAGGACAAGTTATATACAGAATATTTTAATATATCATCAAAAAAGAGGGTTTGAAGCCATATAGCTCCAGATATATTTGGTCTGCACATGGTTTGAATTAGTTGGAAAATCTTTAAAAATCAAAAGATTGGCATCAAATTCTGTTTCATGACTTCTTTTAAAAAATTGGAAGGCCCAGGGACACCGAGTGCACGGTCTTGCCTGGAAACAGTCACTGGAGCCGCGAGATGACTGCCCCCTGGGAAGGGAGAGGTGGCCTCCAGTTTGTCCCCTGCCCTGTGGGCATTGAAAGGGCTGCTGCCCCCAGACCCAGGCCCTCCTGAAACATCTGGCTCTTTAAAACAGAAACTGTGCCCTAGCCAGTTTGTCTCAGTGGATAGAGCATTGGCCCTGGGACTGAAGGGTCCCAGGTTCGATTCCTGTCAAGGGCATGTCCCATGGTTGCAGGCTCAATCCCCAGCCCTGGTCAGGGTGTGTGTGGGAGGCAACGAATCGATGTCTCTCTCACATCAATGTTTCTTTCTCTGTCTCTCCCTCTCCTTTCCACTCTCTCTAAAAGTCAATGGAAAAATATCCTTAGGTGAGCATTAACAACAACAACAAATAGAAACTGCTTGGTGGGTTAATACGTTTTCTCTGACCTTGTGTAAGGACAAAATGTGTTTACTAAGTTTACGTTTTGGTATACTGTATTTTTGTAGAAAATGAAGGTGAAATAAAGGGTAGGAGTCATGTCTGTTTGTTTACACCGGAGTCCCCATGTCTGGAACATCACAACAGGAAGTCCATGAACAGGAGGAAGGGCTGAAGGTACAATGTGGCATGTGCCAACTAACCAAAGCATTCCCTGGGGGACAACGCATGAAGAAGGAAAAACGCAGAAACACAAGACTTTCCATCAGATGCCACTGACTGGGGGCAAGAGCACGCAGGGGTGAGAGAACCCAGCAGCGACTGTGACAGAGAACAAGTAGGGGAAGATGGACTTTCCTTGTTGAAACAGGGCGGAGGCAGAACTGTGGCACTCTGATCCAGAGATGAAGTTCTCGGAGAAGCGGGGTAAAAAGGAAAAGGAAAAACTAGAACTCTGAGCTGGTGACTAAGGAACAGTGGCAAATAATAACATTTAGTACTTCTGATACCATTGTAATTAGCTAGTTATTAACAGCAGGAAAGGAGCAAAGGAGAGGCCAGGCATTATAGGCATGTTCCCTGCAAAACAGGGGGAAAGGGACTGGACAGGGTGAGATAAACACATGCCCAGTGAAGTTGGGGTGACCTAGGGAAGTCACACTTGGGAACAAGGTCACTGGCCAGATATGCATGGCCACTGCAAGCCCATGAAGATTTGGGATGTTTAACCCCTAAACAAAGAAGTTGGTTCTCTCATCCTAGCCGGTTTGGCTCACTGGATAGAGCGTCGGCATGGGGACTGAGGGGTCCCGGGTTCGATTCCGGTCAAGGGCATGTACCTTGGTTGCGGGCACATCCCCTGTGGGGGCGTGCAGGGGGTGGCTGGTCGATGCTTCTCTCTCATCAATGTTTCTAGCTCTCTGTCTCTCTCCCTTCTTCTCTGTAAAAAATCAATAAAATATATATTAAAAAATAAAAAAGAAGTTGGCTCTCTTGTGATCTTATGCTCTTGGCTCTGTTGGAACTTGTGTGACTCTGGGCTTGTGGGCTCTTTTGCTCCTGCTCCCCACACACACTGCACTGATGGACTACAGGTGGCCGGATGCTGCACTGGGCCCGCTCCAACATGGACAGGAACTCTGACACTGGCTTTGCTTCCAGCTCTACTGAAGCCCCAGCTACACTTCTTCTGTGACTGGACTGAGGGAAATGGGACTTCGGAAACACAGGTAAGGCCTGGTAAACAATAAAGGACCATGAGGTTTGGGGGACTGCCCTCAGCTGTTTAGCAGCAGGCAATAATATATGCAGATTATCAGCCCTGCTGAATATAGAAGCCCAGGGGTCCGGAGATTCAGAGAGCTTAGTCACTAGAACTAAGTTTCCGTCTGGCACCCCAAAATGCCTTCCAAATTAATATTTCTTCTCTGGTCTCTTCATTCATTTATGCACAGCCCTTCTACAGATTCCTGAACCCTAGTAAATGCAGAAAAGACCCTGGCACCCACTCCCCACCCCCAAGACTGAACTAGGGGAATAGATCAATTCTAGAAGGTATTGGCCTTTGAGAACAGGCATCATAAAACAAAGTTGGTAGTGTGTATTGGTTTAATATGATTTTAAATCCACTTATTTATGACTTAAGTGAAGCTGTTTTAATCCACTTGCTAACGACAAAGACAAAAAAAAGGTTAATTTGATATAAGAATAAAGTAAGTCAGGCCAGGATCACTCTATACCTATTGTCCTTGAGAAGCAGTGAGCAGCCTAGGTGCTTAGGGCCCTGCTAGAGGCTCATGAATAAGAACATGTACAAAAACAACATGGCAAGGGGGCATCTATATTTATAATCTATATATATAAAAGCCTAAGCAATCGAATGACCTAACGACCAAGTGACCGGTCAACCGGTTGCTGTGACACGCACTGACCACCAGGGGGCAGACGCTCAATGCAGGAACTTTCCCCTGGTGGACAGTGTGCTCCCACAGTGGGAGTGCCACTCAGCTGACCAACCCGACCCGGCAGCCCAGCCCAGTAGCAGCCACTCACTCCCTCAGTAGTCCTGCAGGTTCAATTTCTGGAGAATGGGCCAGGCACCGATGGACCAGCACTGCTGGCACGATCCCATCAGCACTGCTGGCCTCCTGGAAGTCGACCTTGGGCACCACGGCTGCTTCCCCTCCCTAAACGCTCTGTAATGAAGAAATTATATAAATGTGGCCACCATGTGGCTCCCAACTGGTGCAAATATCAGTGGGACGGACGGATTTGGATCTCAGGCCGGCAAGGGCATTTCACCACCTGCCCTGAACACTGATCACATGCTGCCCTGCTCCCCGCTTGGGACAGGTGCCAGACGCAGGGCTCATAGCTGATGAGCGCCACTGCGGCACCAAGAGCCTCTCCCAATCAGGACTGACTGGGCATGAGCCCACCGCAGGCACAGTGGGGCCGGAATGAGCAGAAGCTGCAGGCAGGAGTGTCAGGTGGCGTTGGACTGCCAGTTCCGGCCCAATCTCTGCAGGCCACTCTGAGGGACACCACCCATCCACAAATTCGTGCACTGGGCCTCTAGTTTAGAACATAAATACTGAGTCTGTGAGGACTATTTGAGAGTTTTGGTTTAGGAGAGGCAACTCTTCCTAAACCAAAAAAGTTTCCAAAGACCCTTGGGGCATTAGCTTCTGTCTTGGTGAGGCACTTCTCACAGGCAGTGGTGAGAAAGTGCAGCTCCTGTGAAAGAGATCAGCTGCTTACTTACCAACACTGGTCTTCTTTCTAGCAACAGGGGACTGTCACTTTTTGCTCTGGCAGCTGCAAATCAGTTCTTGGTTGGGCACCCTCTCTCCCAAGTGCCTTTAAGTATAACAAGGTACACCTCCTCTTAAATGTGGACTTTATTCCTTCATCTTTCCTTGCCTGCAACAAGAGTGTGATTCATGTATCTTTTTAATTTTTTAAATATATTTTTATTGATTTCTGAGAGGTGGGGGAGAGAGATAGAAATGCCAATAAGAGAGAATCCCTGATTGGCTGCATCCTGCACAACCCACACAGGGGATCAAGCCTGCAACCTGGCCATGTGCCCTGACCTGGAATTGAACCATGAATGCCTGGTTCATAGGTTGATGCTCAACCACTGAGCCATGCCAGCAGGGCTGTCTTTTATTTGAAGTATGTTATTTATTTTCTTTTTTAAAAAAAAATTTTTTTATTGACTTTTTATAGAGAGGAAGGGAAAGGGATAGAGAGTTAGAAACAACGATGAGAGTGAAACATTGATCAGCTGCCTCCTGCACACCCCCTACTGGGGATCGAGCCTGCAACCAAGGTACATGCCCTCGACTGGAATCGAACCTGGGAACTTTCAGTCCACAGCCCGACGCTCTATCCACTGAGCCAAACTGGTCAGGGCTGAAGTATGTTACTTCTTTATTTGGCTCATTAAAAAATATTATCCTGTATGCTATTGGCCTCTCCGAAACAAAAACAAAACAGGTGTCTTGCTCATTTTTCTTCAAACTTCAAGAAATATTTATCGAGCACCTACTATGTGACAGGAAATGTTCTGGGCTCTGAGACATATCAATGAACTAAAGAGGCAGAAATATCTGCCCTGTAGAACTTATACTCCTGTGGATGAAGGAGCCCCATGGAAATGTTCACAACTTCTTTGTTTTTGCTTGTCCTGGCATGTCATCTCCTTCAGAGATAACCTGGAAAAAACAGGAAATGAGACTTTTTAAAAATATATATTTTTATTGATTTCAGAGAGGAAGGGAGAGGAAGACAGAGAGAGAAACGTCAATGATGAGAGAGAATCATTGATTGGCTGCCTCCTGCATGCCCCCTACTGGGGATTGAGCCCGCAATCCTGGGCATGTGCCCTTGACCAGAATAGATCCTGGGACCCTTTGGTCTGCAGGCCAACACTCTATCCACTGAGCCAAATGAGACTCACATTTTTAAGAGCAGAAGGTCCATCCTATAAAAGGCTAATATGCAAATTGACCAAATGGCAGAACGACCAGTTGCTATGATGCACACTAACCACCAGGGGGCAGACGCTCAACACAGGAGCGTCCATTGACTTTTAGAGAGAGAGGAAGGGAGAGGGAGAGACAGAGAGAGAAACATTGATGTGAGAAAGACATTGATTCATTGCCTCCCACACACACCCTGACCAGGGCTGGGGATTGAGCCTGCAACCATGGGACATGCCCTAGTCCTGCTGGAATCATAAGCTACTATTGACCTTACACAAATAGATAGCCAAATATTTCTCCAGCAAAATGGGTGTTATCTATTGGTTGCCTCCTGCATGAGCCCCGACCCGGGGTCAGGGATCAAGCCGGCAACTGAGGCATGTCCATGTGACAGGAATCGAACCTGGGACCCTTCAGTCCCAGGGCCAATGCTCTATCCACTGATATACCTGCAGGAGATTCCCCTGGTGGTCAGTGTAGCGGTGGCGGTGGGAGCCTCTCCTGCTTCCACGGCAGCACTAAGGATGTCCAACTGACGGCTTGGGGAGCAGGCCTAAGCCATCAGTTGGATATATCCTGAGGGCTCCCAGACTACTAGGGGCCATAGGCTGGACTGAGGGATGCCCCCCCGCCAAGTGCATGAATTTCGTGCACCAGGCCTCTAGCCTAAAAGATAAGCCTCTGTCTGGATATTTGTTGACCAAAGTGATGCCAATTTACAAATTAAAGTATCATCTAGTGGCTGTTTTTCTTATGTGTGTGTGTGTGTTTTTTTAAATTTTATCACAGTTTATTTGAGCCAAAATAAGTACATATATCTGGGAGCAAGATCTCAAATGCTCCCTTATGTGTTTTTTTATATAAGAAAGTTTCTGTTGCCCTGACCTATGGGCTCAATGGTTAGAGCGTTGTTCTGTGAACCAAAGGGTGGAGGGTTTGATTCCTGGTCAAGGGCATGTACCTGGGCTACACATTCAACCCCAGGCCCTGTTTGGGGCACGTGCACGAGGCAACCAATTGATGTGTCTCACATCGATGTTTTTCTTTTTCTTTCTCTTTCTCTCCCCCCCACCCCCCCCCCCTCCCTTTCACTTTCTC